ATTGATCCGTCAGGGGAAGGGGAAAGATCCGGACAGTGTCGCTTTTGGATGCTGAAAGTAGGCGGCCTTTTGCCCCTTCCAAGAGAAGTGGCCCCACTTCCCATGATGCCAGCAATAGCTTTGGCATGTGACATGGAGGCTTCCACCCCTGCCCCACCCCGCTGCCCCCTCCCTCCCTCCCTCCCTCCCTCCCTCCCCAACGCCCGCCCAGCCGTGTGCAAACAAGTCATCTCTCTCTTGTCTAGCATGATGGAAAGGGGAGGCCCAGGCCAGATGCCAAGAGGTGAATAAAGCCTTACACTCCAGCACGTGGCGCGAGCACACACATCAACCCAGAGGCAGACGGGAGATAGAAGGGGGTCCTCCGGTGCGCTGGGGTACAGTACCTGGGGGAGTGCAGCCGTGGTGGTCGCAGGCTCCGGCTAACCCAGCAAAGGAGAGAGAGGAGAGAAAAAGAGAGACAGAGAGAGAGAGGTAAGCTGTAAAGTCAAGGGACCAGCAGCGGAGAGGAGAAGGGTATCTCACCTACAAGAAGCAACAAGGAAAGACAGAGGCAGCAGAATCCTCAGCAAGTCTTCTGTGGCCTCCAGCAGTGGCAGGGACCAGCCAAGCTCACTTTGCCCAAGACCCACCCAACAGTCTTGGAGATCAGCAAGGCAGGACCACTGGAACCTAAGCATCATGACACTCTAGGTGGAGCTGTCTCGCCAACCGGTTAAGAGTGTTGGACCAGGACCTGGTAGAGAACAGAGTTCAAATCCCCCACTCGATGAGGAAGCTCCCTGGTTGACCTTGGGGGTCAGTCACCGCCTCTCAGCCTAACCTACCTCATAGGGTTGTTGTGGGGATTGAAGAAGGAGAGGAAGAATGTCATATGCCACCTTGAACTCCTTGGAGAAAAAGGTGAGATATAAATGCAAATCAATAAATATTGGTCTGGACTGGGGGGGTGGGGAAATCTCGACCAATGGCTAGATGGCCAATGCTGGTGTCTGTAATGCCAATGCAACATTTAAAGCCAAGCAGGCAAAGTTATTACAAATATTTTTTACATTTCTATACCACCCTTCATTCGAGGATCACAGGGTGGTTTACCATATAAAAACACAAAATACATATCCTGTAGTAAAAACCAAAACAATATTCCCCCCACCACATAAACTTTTTAAAAGACTATAGATTGTTTAATTAGCCAAAGGCCTGGGAGAAGACGAATGCTTTTGTCTAGCACCCAAAAATGTGCAATGAAGGCAGTTAGTTGTTCAGTTTAGGGTTTGGGGGCTAGTGGCCACAATCCCAAAGCCACCCAGGTTCTGCCCCTCATTCTCCAGGGAGTGGAGTTTTTGAAATCAAAGGCTGGCAGCCCTAAGAGGCAGCTGCAGCCAGGAGATGGCTTTCCCCAGGTGGGCCAACACTGCAAGAGTACAAGCAGAAATGGACCATGCCACCTTAGCTGCTCATTAGAGCTTCTGTAAGCCACCTGACCAATCCAGTGTCTGGCTTAGGAGAATATATACCCAGTTCTGGCCCTATACTTCAAACCTCCTCCTGTCAGCCCAGAGGCCATACTTTAGAGTGCTGAGAATCGGGCACCGTTTACCCAGGTGAGGTTCATGTTGCATGGGGCAAAGGTACAACACTCTGATCACAAAAACCCTCTGAACACAAACATGAAAGCCTTTGAATGCCAAAATCATGTGCTCTGTTATGTTAGTAACACAGTGGCCTACATTTTCCTACAAATCTACGTCAGTCAAGGTAGGTGTGTCCCAACATAAGTTAAGGAGGACACTTCAGACAGAACAGGAAAAAACTTTTCCCCAGAGAGAAATCTGGGAGGTGCCTACACATCTGTGCATCCAGAGGTGGGAAGATCTCAGAATGATCTGCAGTAATTCAGCAAAGATTTCTGACTCCCAAAGGTTTAGCAATAGAAGCAACGAAATAATTCCCACCCCGCTTTCCCAATGCCACCCAAAATGATAGGGCTGAAAATAATATCAGGGTAGCCTGCAAATGATTTTTGTTCAGAAGCGCTGTGAGTTGAGTTGAGCTGAGCTGAGTTGTGGTGGTACTCAAAAACAAATTGCTAGGCTAGGAGCTCTTTTGCACCTGGCTCCAGTTGGTGGATCACAGAGTCCTAGTAAAAGAAGGAAGTTGATCCCGCAAGCCTCAATTCTGCGCACCCCTACCCCATGTGGTAAACAGACATCTGTGTGGTGAGCCTCTTTGGTCGCCAGAGACTTTGCATAAATAAACACACATATTCACTGCACAACCACCACCACCCCAGGTTTCTCCCTGCCCCAGAACACAGGCCTTCAGCAAAGGCGCAACAGCAATGCACACAGGCAAAGGGGGCCCTACATGCACCTCCAGCTCAAGACACACCTGCTGGGTGGTTTCCTCTCCAGGACTCAGGGAAGGCGGAGACTTCTCTGCTGGCTTTGCTGTTTGGGGCTTCTCCTTGGAAGGAGTCTAGATGACAGAGGTCATAACTGTATTTAAGGAACCCAGTGATGCATGCTTACACACACACACACACACCCCCTATGAGTCATGTGGATGCAATGAAGCTCAGGCTAGATTGAAGACAGGCATAACAAGTGGGATTTTTGTAAATTGCTTAGAGGTTCTATTTACAAACAGGCGGTATATAAATTTTGTTAAACAAACAAAAAAATAAAGGAGTGGAGTCACTCTGGGCCCATCTTCACTGAACACATTTAATTCCAATGTTTATTCTAGGGTTAAATTTAGCAGGGGGTGTTGATGGTGGATCAGGCCGGTGGCCCATCTAGTCCAGCATCCTGTTCTCACAGTGGGAAACCGGCATTCCAGGTTTCAAGCGCTCTCGCCTCTTGTGGTTTCCAGCAATTGATATTAATGCCTTCAACTGTGGATGCAGAACACAGCCATGCTATGGCTTGTCCACTCCTGTCTCCTCAATGAATCTAAAAAGCACTACAACTTTAAAATGCTGGAAAGCTCCACTTTTCAACCCAAATTTTGCAACCTGAATACTGATATTTATACACTCTGATATAATCTGCTTAGATTTCTTCCCCGAAACTATTAAAGACCCTCCACAGACAGCTTACAAACCCTGCTCAGCTGTCCTCCAGTTTTTGAACTTCCACCCAGAATCACCTGCTCATGTTCAAACTCATCTTTGCAACTCTAAGAGACAGAAATGGGTTTCATGTGTGCTTGAAATGAAGGCGAGGAGCCTCATGGCATGGTCAAAGTGGCACATGGGCTGTTAAGCACACCAATCAGAAGCTGCCCTAAGCACCAAAACAGCTGCCTGGTGGGGGCGACACAGGGTGGGGTAAAGAGAGAGCACAACACACTCCCCGAGAGAAAGAAGAGCCTCGCTGTGGCAGGACTAGCAGCACACTCCATGCATTGAGGACCCCCTCCAGACTCTGGGAGCCAAAGTTCACTGCCCGCCCTGCCCAGGTGAGGAACACAAAGGCACTCTGCACATGCTCAGATGCTGGCCTCGTGCACCCGCCAAGCTGCGGTGCTCATGCACTAGTACCTTATTCGCAGTGGTGGCTTTCTGTATTGCCAGCTTCGCTGGAGCCGCAGGAGGCCCCTTTGGCGCCTGACTCCCCTTTGTGTCTGTGGCCTTCCCTTCCGCAAGAGGTGGGGTCTTTGTCTTCTCTGGGGGCTTCTTCTCCTCCTCTTTCTTCTCTGGCAGCTTGGCACGGGGCCGATGCTCTCTGGTCCTGCCTCTCGACATCAGGCTCTTGAGCCCCACCGAGAGGTCATCCTTGGGGGCTGCCTCCTTGGGCTCAGACTTCAAGGAAGAGGGTGGCCGAGGGGACGGAGAGAGCACCCTTGCAGGTGGGGGCTGGACCTTTGCAGGAGGCTTCTCCTCCTTCTTGCTTGGCTCCGTGGACTTGACATCTCGTCCCGGCTCCTTGGAGCCCCCAGAATCCTCCCCTGGAAGCACCTTCCGCACCACCTTCCGCACCACCCTCACCACTCTCTTGCGGGAGAGGCCCTGGGCATCGTCAGCAGGTGGCTCGGGCTGAGTCGATGAGCCAGCTCCTTGGGAGCTCTCCAGGCCATTCATGGCTTGGCCGGGAGGGCAGGAATGCTTGGTTTCCCCGTTGAGCAGCGGCTCTGGGCTCTTCACCCTCCCAGGGGGCTCTGGGCTCTTCACCTTCCCAGGGGGCTCTGGGCTCTTCACCCTCCCAGGGCGTTCTGGGGGCTCTGGGCTGCGGGGGTTCCGGGGGTCCTCCTTTCCTGCACTCTGGACATCCAACTATAGTTGCAGATACATTAAGATGTTGTGAGGAGAGCAGGCCCCCAAACAATGCCATGGCAAGGCAGCAGCGACCAGCCAGGCGCTGTGCTGGAGGGACCAAGTCCAGCCCTTCCACTCCTCCTCCCCACTCAAGGGTTTGCATTCACACAACAAGGAAGAAGCAGCCTTCCTCAGATTTCCCAAGCAGAGAATCCAATGGGATCCCTGGTTCCTTCCCAACAGCAGAGTCAGCCCTGCCCATCCAGAGGGTTAGTTTGGCTTCTGACATGCAAAAAGGCCAGGAAAAGTTTGTGTGACTGGGGAGTGGAGTGGGCAGAAGAGAGTGCTAATCGCAACAAACAGCTGCAAATGAGCAACTGGCTGAGCTGGAGGAAGAGGGCACAGGTGGGGTTCTGGAAGCGAAACGAACATGCCGCCAAAAGGAACGGAAGAGGAGTCTACTGCAAACGGATTTATACACAGCATAGTGGCTACAACCCAACTCAACTTTGCTTGTGCTAGCATCGCCTCTGGTATACAGAGGGCCCACTTATGTCCAAGCCACTTGTGCATTAAGAAAAACCCTGACTAGTTATGCACAAAATTATATGGAAAAAATGCACGGACAGTACGTATGGAAGAGTCAAGCCCCTTTCTATGCTAGCTCTCTGAGTCTTTTTGCTCCAACCTCAGAGGTTTGGGGGAAGGCAGCAGGGTTAGGCTCACAAGGATAAAAGCTTGAGCTTCCGTAGCTCAGTGGTGGAGTATCTGCCTTGCATGCAGAAGGTCCCAGGTTCAATCCCCAGTGGCATCTCTAGGCATCTAGAAGAGTTCCCTGCCTGAAACCCTGGAGCTTCCTATGTTCTAGAGCAAGGTTTCCCAAACTTTGGTCTCCAGTTGGTTTTGGACTACAATCCCCATCATCCCTGACCACTGGGGCTGCTAGCTAAGGATGATGGGAGTTGTAGTCCAAAAACAGCTGGCGACCCAAGTTTGGGAAACCCTGTTCTAGAGTAAAGATTACTTCCAAAGGGCTTTCCCAGGAATGAGAAAATAACTGATTCCCCTCTCCCACGTCCCTGCAGAGCCCTCTGCCCACAAGTCCTTTTCGTAAAGCATCCACCCACGCAGCTAAGACTTTGAAGACTCATCTCAACCCACAGTGTAGCGGCAGCACAGACCAAAGCTCTGCAGTGAGACTGGATGGAAACAAAAATACAAGGAATCAGCTTCCCAGGATAAACTCACCTTGGGAATTGGGGGGGAGGGGAAACCCTACCCTTCAGGCCCCAGCCTGAAAAGAGAAGTGGATCAGGAAAAGGGTGGCATTTTTTTAAAAAAGGGGGAAGACGCCAGTGAAGGCTGTTCCCCTCCAGATGCCCTTCCTTAAAGAGATTTCTTTCAAGCCAAAAAGCAGCCACTGCATCAATTCTGTACTCTCCTGAACAGCACAGGTCTTGTCGTTCTTGGACGAGCTTCTGGCCTCTGCCGAGGGGGCGAAGGCAACACTCAGCAGCCCCAAGATGAGAAAGGAGAGCTGCAGCAGCAGAAGAAGAAGGGGAAGGCTGCCAGGGTACAGGATGAAAAGAAAGAGGGAGAGGGAAGACACCAGTAGGCAAAGCCGAGCAGCTGGCTCCTTGCTTTAGAACAAAGGAGGAAAGCAGGGCAGCTGAGCAAGGGAAGCTTCTGGGTCTGTCTTCAGGAGCAGCTAAAGGAAGAGGAGGTGGCAAGCAGCATAGCTAATGGCCACTGGGCACCAGACCTAGGATGGATGGCCCAAGGCCAGGAGAAGCTTCAACCGCTATGGCAAAAGGCTTGCTGAGGAGAGTGGAAGCAGGGGTGGTGCCGTCATTAAAAAGTTCCAGCTCGCCTTCTTAAAGTTCCATGGCTCGGCAAGAAAGGTGCCACTTTTTAACACTGAAATGAGAAGAGGTTATTGACCAGGGCACAGAAAGACCTGAGGTAAGGAAGCTACGAGCAGGACTCCGCAAAATTCTACCCCAATGGTAACCCAAATTCTGCAAAGCTAAGTGCCATGACCTGTGTAAAGCGTGCAAGTTAAGCAAATGTGCATGGTTTGCTTTATTTATGCACAATTTAATTCTGCATTTTTGCTGTTCTGAATAATTAGTTCTGCTTCTGCTCCACGTCCTTAAATTGAAGCATCAACCGGGGGGGGGGTAGGAATTGGACACTTAATTGAGTTCACAAGGTCCATCCTCACTCTCTTAATTTTAGGCAAACTGTTCCTCCCTGTTAGCCTTTTATAGATGGTAGCTAAGGGGGCCATCACAAAAGGCTTTGCTCTCTCCCCCACACCAAACACTCTGTAATTAAATCCTGTACCTTGAATATATTAAAATGGAAAAAAACAATACCAATGTTCTTAACAAGCAGAACAGGAGCATATTAGGAATGTATGAAGCTGCCTTATACCACGCCAAATCATTGGTCCATGTAGCTCAGTATCGTATACACTGACTGGCAGCAGATCTCTTTGATTTTATTTGAGTTTCTACTGAAATAAGGCTGCATTTTAATGTTGTATTTTAATCTTGTTTTTAAGTTGTATTTTAATCAACTGTTTTTATACTTGGCGTTAGCCACCCTGAGCCCGGTCTTGGCTGGGGAGGGCGGGGTATAAATAAATATTATTATTATTATTATTATTATTATTATTATTATTTAGAATTTTCAGGCAGCCGATGCTCCTACCTGAACATGCCAGGGATTGAACTTGGGACCTTGCGTGTGCAAGGCAGGTGCTCTACCACTGAGCTGTGACCTTTCTGCGGCTTTTCATATATTCAGAACCCTGAATATAGATCAAAACAGATAAGTTCCTGAAACCATTTCCAATGGTTTGAACTGGGGGGCTCACAAAAGTTTTGGAGGTGTAGACGAGAGAAGGTCTGAGATACGTCTGCCCACCCACTCACATTTCTCCTAGCTATTCAAGGCCAAATGTGGATGGCACATATGTCAGGGATTTTTTAGTTGCGATTGCTGCATTGCAGGGGGTTGGACTAAATGACCCTCGGGATCCCTTCCGGTTCTACAATTCTATGACTCTGTTGTTCTATTCCCCCCTACCAGTATCCTGGGCTGAGACACCACCACATACCTGATAAGATAAGAGCAGGCTGACAAGCAACCAAAGGGCTCATCCTAGGACCAGGAAAAATTAAGTTCAAATCTCTAATTCAGCCACAGAGCTCACAGGGTGGTTGTTGCGAGCACAAAATGTGTGAATGGGGGAGACCCATGTACTACCCTGGCTTCCTTGGGAGGAAAAGCAGGATGCAAATGAAACACAAACTAATGAACTTCACCAGGAGCAGAGTGTTTAAACAGGGGTTTCTCTCGGCAGAGGCACTCAGCTGCAAACAGAATAGCAGAGATGCTCTGGGCACCAAATAATCACAGTTGTGTAAAACTGAGGCCCAACCAAAATGTGCATTGAGGGAGCTGTTAAATTAATAACACAAATCAGGAGAAACCCAGCCACCACCAAAAGAAGAGCTGCGGCGATTGCAGGGGCGGGGCAGCTCAAGGAATAAAAAGACGGGGATGGGAGAGAAGCCTAAAGGGCCTGAGACTATCTACAAGCCTGTCCCAGAGGGGTGGGTTTCCAGCCCTGATGGCTACAGAAGGACCCCTCCTTCTTTGTCCCTGCCACCATCCATTATCCTAGAACTAGGCCAGAGCTGTGCAGGGGGCACCTTCCCACAGCGATAGCTTTCAAGCCGCACCAAGTGATCAGCCTAACAAAGACCCAGCTGAAAGCGCACACAGGGGAGTGGTTCTCTGGGAACTGGCAGGTCCCACCACCCGAAGTGTATATGATTGGGCACAGGGGAGGCAGAGAGAGGTAGGGATGGTGACTCTGGAAATGGGCTCCATTAGGGGTCTCTCGTCAGCATCAACAACAAGGCCAGGCAGGAACGTGGACGAGTCACTTGCTTTCTACATCCCGTGGGCTCAGAGGAAGTGTCGTTCTGCCCCATGGCTAGCACTACTGCTTTCGGTTTTTCCTAACATCAAGCAGTATACAAGTTTTATGAAATAAAAATAAATAAGACTGAAAATCTGCTGATCTTCACAGTGCTTATCAGACCCAGGACTCACCTTTTACCCTCCACATGCCACATGGGCACAGTTTTTCACAACGCATGTGCATGTTTCTCTTTCTCTGCAACTCTCTCCCACCACCCCACCCAAAAAAATCCCTGTGCCCACAGGAGAAAATAGAAGAAAATAATGGCAAGTGTCGGCGCAACCCGCTTTGCTTCCCAACTAAGAATGGAAGAATCTGTCAGCTTTGGTTTCTCTTTCTCGCAATCTTAAATTCAGTTTACCACTTTTCGGTAACAGTTTGCAAGGTGCTTTTTTATTTTTAAAAGTCTTTGTGGAAATTCATTAGCGTTTCAGTGTAAACATCTCTCAATATACACATGTTCATATTTAATTTTGCCTAATACAAACATTTTTGCAAAGGCCCCTAACAAAACGTATTTGGTAAGTGGTGTTTTTGTTGTTGTTGTAGTTAATCTTTTTTTGGGGGGGGGGCTGTTGCTGCTATATTAATTTTTGTATCTGTGTTTTGATTATATAGAAATTGTTCAGTGCAATTGTGCATTTTTTGATGTTCTATTTATTGTTGGTGACTACTTTTGTAATGTTGTAATTATATATTTTTTCATGTTGTAAGCTGCCTTCAGCATGGTTTGAAAAGCAGCATACAAATAAAATTATGTCTGTCTGTATGTAATCTATGCTCTCTCATAAGCATTTTTATACACATGCCTTGGCTGGAGAATTTCATTGCAAAATTCAGAGACGTGCAAATTTCAAAGGATTGCTGCATTTCCACTCGTGGTAATGTTTCAGATGAGGCAAATTTAGTTAAGTTCACCTTTAAATGAGAACTGAATCAAATTCCTTCTTCCCCATCCCTAGTCCCAACACAAAACGTGAAGATAATCTGCCAACCCCCTCTCGCACTTACAGCTCTAGGATCCCACAAAAAAACACGGTGGGCCCTACAACACACCATGGAGTCTGCACACAAGAGAAAGAAGGAGGGGCAAGACCCACGTCACGCACAAATTTGTCCTGGCCTAGAAGTTAGCCCAAGCAAATACCCCACCCTCCAGTGCTCAAACCCAGACGGACTTACAGCCCCATCCTCTCTCTCGTTTTTTTTCGCCGCTAAAGGTTTGTCTTCATCCTTCACCTGAGGAAGTCAAATACATATAAGGAAATATTTCATTCACGCCAGGACAAACAGTTGAAACGTGCATACACACACTTTTTCACTAGCACATTCCAGGCAGTCCATATCACAAGTATGATGGTAGCTTTTCACAAGCACTGACGTGGTCAGGATGCTCCTAGCAGACCTTGTGTTAAGCTGCTACTGGGCAGAAAACCCATGCTGGAGAAAGGCTGTGTACAGACTCCCATCAACTCTGCATCCAGTAGACTCCCACCACTGGGTTGGGAAGCAGCAGACACCCACCACCTTACCCACAATTCATATCTCTTCTGTGGTTTCTTATGAAATACGACATTTTGATGCAGGGGTCTTTTTCTTTTTTTCACCAGGAAATATCTACTAATATTTTCAATTACATTTTAATGGAGACTCTTACTAGTTTTATTGTAGTCTGCAGGTTGCATACCGCCTCAATATATCTTATGAAAGAGTGGTATATAAGTATTTCAATAAATAAATTCTACCCCCTGAAAAAAAACACCCCAACTATTATCTGAATTGAGAAAAAAGCAGCCTTGCTATGTCCTAAGCCAGGAATGTGTACATTCAGCCCAAGTTGGTAAAAAGTCCATCTCCGCAGGACATAGAAGATGATAACACATATTCCATTAGGATCAAAGCAGGAGCAATGGTGGGTGGGGTGCCTCAAGAGTGAGGAGGCAACAGCAACTGGGAACCACCATGATCAAGAGAAACCTGGCATCACAAGAATTACACACTTTTGCTATTTTCTCATCACCCACACCCTTACTCCCCAATCTAGCAACCTTGAAGCCCAGCGAACACAGAACAGCAAACTTGGAACAGAAACTCTGGCAGCAAGGTTGCAATGTGATACACTCCCACCAAACAGGTAGATAAGTTGGTAACACAACAACACAATGATTTATTACTCCAAACCTGGATTGTGAAGACATCACAGTAACCTGTCAGTCAAAAGCGCATTTTAACACCACTGTGTGCAGGGAGGTGCTGGTTCCATTGGCTCTCAAACCACACAAGCCATGCATTGGTGCAAGGGGAGGATGGGGCGGGAAGGAAGGAGGCGGGACACACATTGTTACCGCAAACCTGGGCTTCTTGGGGGCTCCTCATTCCTTGTGGGACTCAAGCACTTGAAAGCTTAAAATGCTCAGAAATAGAGCTATAAAATAGGTGTGGAGATATGAGTCAACAGATGGCAGGAACTATTATATTAAGAGCTCCACACTGAGGTCAAACCCAGGTTTACAGTAACAGCACTCATGATCACACAGAACTTTCAATATATCAGCCTCTACCAACTGGTACCCTCCAGATGTTTTGGACTTCAACTCCCATCAGCCCCAGCCAGCACAATGTAGTCCAAAACATCTCAAGGGCACCGGGTTGGCAAAGGCTCCAATATACAGTGGAGTTAGTAGCACACAAGTTATTTCACAGGCAGATTATTCCACACAGTTGCTATGCAAAGGGCTTGGAGGGAGTGGCTGCCAGTTTGTTCAGTCCATTTGGAGTCTCTGAGAAATGGCAAGGAGGAGAACAGATTCTCCCCAGGGACCTCTGCTCTTCACACAAGCCAAGAGGGGGCCTAGGACTGACCACTGGCATTCCTGCCACATTTCTAACATGACCTCTATTGCTCTGAAGCCAACTCCCTCCTATGCCAGGAACAAGCACAACCTGGTCCCCTTTTCAATGTGCTGCCGCGACGCATGTGCAAAGTGCCCAGTTTTAGGAGAGCAAGGGGGTGGGGAGGGAGAGAGAGGAGGCAGGGAAGGCCAAGAAATAGCAAAGAGACTTCCCTTCTGCTCCCAGAATGCAAATCGTGATGAAAAGGCCATGGCTGCCACGCTGGAGAACCTAAACCCCTGACTGGGAGAGAAAAAGGTGGTAGAGGTTAAGAGTCTGCAGAATGGGGGCGGGGAGCCCTCTGGGTCCCAGGCAAGACAGACCGAGGAACCACAACAAGGGGAAACCTGGGGCAAAGGATTCCTAAGTAATCATGCCTCCAAATTCCCATTCTCTTAACCTCGGGTGCAGAAAATGAAATGCTACTCACCCTCAATAATTTTTCAGGTAATTCCACCCCACCCAAAATAAGCATTTGCTTTACAGGCAATGCAAGGCTGCAGCCTTGGGATAGTGACTTCCGCAGGCCCTTTTAAATGCAGTGACCTCCTACCTTCTTCCACTGTAGAAAAACTTGATCTGACAACATTGCCTTAGCTCCTTGTGCCTTCCTTTCTGAACTAGCCGTTAATTAAGGCTCCTCCCCACACACCCTTCACCTGTCATTATTAACCCATCCCCAGTATTGTCCCTAGCTATAATTTTAGATGTCACTTCTTAGGGACGTCTGAGTTAACTGAACAGAACTTGAAATGCATCAAGATACAGGCTGTGTGGGTTATTCCTTTCTGCTTGTCTTAATTCTCCTTTTCGATTAAAGGAGAGGCAGCCTTCTTTGGCTAACCCAATCACATTTGCAAAAGGTTTGACAGCAGCTTGAGATTCACAGGCAGGTGC